TCCACTTGGCGAAAGAGAGGAAAGCCAGCACCACCCTGGGCATCATAATGAGCGCGTTCATCGTCTGCTGGCTGCCGTTCTTCGTGCTCGCCCTTGTCAGGCCGTTCCTCAAGGATCCGGACGCCATCCCCGCGTTCCTCTCGAGCCTGTTCCTCTGGCTCGGTTACTGCAACAGCCTGTTGAACCCTATTATCTACGCGACGCTGAACAGAGACTTCAGAAAGCCGTTCCGCGAGATCCTCTACTTCCGCTGCAGTAACCTGAACCACATGATGAGGGAGGAGTTCTATCAGAGCCAGTACGGCGATCCTATCAACAACTGCGAGATCAAGACAGGCGAAATGGACGACGTTGAACGTCTGAACAATCAGGGGATCGAGGCGATCGACGTGGCCACCAGCGCGCCGAACGAGAGTTTCCTGTGATCCCGGGGTAACCACGATCGCTTCGATGATCGCGACACCCTCGAGACCGATCTCGATCAACTGTGAATCGATCGGGAACCTTTGGCAGGCTCCTACTCTTACTCCGATCCTCCGATCCTTCGATGTCTATGATTTCGCGAACCGAGATCGTAGATCATCTCGCAAGCAGCTACTTACTTTCGAGTTTCTCGAATAACTGGCTACTCGGTGGACCTGTTGCTACGTGCACGTACACGTTGATCGAGACCAAAGATAGTCAGAGATTTCATTGAGATTTCATTGCGACGAATTGAGAATGTAGTTTCTGAGAGGAACTTCCTGGGCATCGACCTATATATGTAAATGTTGTTGTAATTCGTGCGCGTTCGATGATCGATGAGCGTTGACGCGTTGACTGGCGTCACGTTCTTCTTTCTTTTTTATATTTTACTTACTTTTGTAAAGTAGGTATATCGATGAATGTTTTATTCCTATTAAGTAGTAAAATAAATTAACGTTCCGTTTACGACCTCAACTCAATATATAGACACAATTTATCCACAAACTGAAACAACAGACGAAAATGACAAGGATCACTTTGTCTCTTGCTTTTCAACTTCGATAATTCGAAAGAAAAAAAAAAAAAAAAAGAAAGAAAAAGGTTTTGCTATATTTATATTGTTCAAAACTTTTCACTTGACTCTCATAATAAAATCCCCGAATCGTGACAGTCGACGCGTTAACGTAGAGTCGACGATTGCGATCGATCGCTCGTCGATCAGATCGTTCGAACGGCGCGGGTCAAAGAATCTGATTGCCCTGTCCCCGACGTGCAGGTATCCGCTATTTTCAGCTGTGGATCGATCCACATTGTCGCGTGGTCAAACATCCGAACACGAAACCTCATGAAATTTCTTCTTTCTGTTTCGTGACAAGGAAAGAAGAAGTCATCCGAAGCGAGTGGCGCCCAGGCAGCAAGAACGAACTGTCGCGTTCCGGGACAGACGCTTCTTCAAGTCGAGATTGCGATCACGTGAACAATGCA